ACTGCATAACCACCAAACCCGACCTCCCGTCTACGACTGAATCTTGTAATCCAAAGGAGTCTAAGAAACCCAATAAGAATCAGAAGCAATCCCTAATCCTATTAGAGGAGGTTGATATTCTCTATGAGGAAGATAAACAGTTCTGGACCACGATTATCTCCATGATCTCACAATCAAAACGCCCTTTTATTATGACCTGCAACGACGAATCGTTGGTTCCACTACAAAGCTTGAGTTTATATGGAATTTTCCGCTTTTCCAGTCCGCCCAAAGATCTGGCGGTTGACCTGTTACTGTTGATTGCCGCAAACGAGGGACATGCCCTTCGCAGACACCCAGTCGAAGCGCTGTACGACTCACGCGGTCATGATCTCCGTGCGTCTATCACGGAGCTTAATTACTGGTGCCAGATTGGTGTTGGAGATACGCGAGGTGGTTTTAACTGGTTTTATCCAAGATGGCCAAAAGGTAGTGATGTTGACGAGGAAGGTAACACGATTCGAGTGATCAGTGAGGATACCTATCATGCAGGTATGGGCTGGTTCAACCGAGACTCGGCTGTTACAGAATCGGGACCACGTTCGGTCGAAGAAGAATTGCACCACCAGACTTGGGATTTCTGGGGGTTCGATGTTTTCGACCCAAGTAAATCACAAGATTTCTCGTCCTGGGCTGCTGAGACTACCAAACCCGAATGTTCTGCTGGAGATCGACTTGCGCTTCTGGCATCAATCGATGCGTTCTCGAATCTAATGAGTGACTGCGATCTCTTTGGGGCACATATATCGCCCACATCATACCAAATCTCTATGGACGCTACAAACCCAAATATTCCAGCAAAGAGCAGAGACGATTACATCATTGGCCGACAGCTTCTAGAGGTTACACCCTTGAGCCATTTTAATACCACCTCTTCAGACTTCTCATCCACGTTGAGAAACCTTGCCCAGAAAAGGTTACAAACTAACCAACCAGTCCATGAGAGCACATCCCCTTTCCCCACCCTCGACGAAACACAAGCGATAACCAAAATCCAGCACTGCCTGGCGGATTCTCTGAAGCCAGAGCAAGGAGTATCTCGTCCTGATTATAGCATCGCGTTTGATCCCATCGCGGTTTCAGAAAAAGGCATGGCAGGTAGTTATTTGGATCCATCCGTTTTTGACAGAACTATGGTCATGATCACACTAGATATAGCCCCTTATGTGCGCAGCATCGTGGCATATGATCAACGTCTTCAACAGGAGCGTCGCTCACGCAGTACCCTTCTCAGCGAAGGCGGGCAGTCCGGAAAGAAGCGAATGCGTACTACGAGAAGCGCGTACTCGGCCTTAGAAGGCGGCTCTCGGGCGAGCACAAGACGGGAAAGGTACTTCACAGCCGACATAAACCCCTACCTTGTCATGCGCACCGGTGGAAAGGGGTGGGATGAGCTCGTCAACCGGGCGGTAGAGGAGCAGAATGCTGTAAGCAGCAAGGAACAAAGCCTTGATCCAGACCCAGCAATGGACTTGAGTCTCGCTGTGGAATAGAAAACATATACAAAATATTAGAAACATTTTATATTCGGCCTGTACATGGTAGTGTCATTTATCATGGTAGAGTCGATCAGCATACCTCGTACTTATTAATACGAGTTTTCCATGACGGAGTTCAAGGTTATAGCGGCGCTGATTTGGCATGCGGATACACATACGTACATATACTCGGCGCATACGTGAATAGAAATTTATATCATTACATGAATCTTTATATCTAGAGCTCTAATCTAGATTAGGTATTCTTGCTAAATATGTGTTATCTAGTTCATTCCATTTTCTATTATACTATATGCCAAATGCTCTTCTTAATCCCGATTAGGGTTTCTCGTTGGGGGTGTATCAAGACTTTTCGCCATCTATACTTCGTATAACTTTACCATTTACTCACTCCTATTGTAGTAGCAACAACACCCATAACGTGTAGAAATATCGATCAAGCCTTCGAGTGAGCATTTGCAGGTTGCTTGTGTTTTGTTTTCACGAGGAATGCCAGACTCACGAGAACTCCTAGCCCAGCAAGACCAATACCCATGTAATAGGCACCACGGTACCCCTTTAACACGTCTTCGGGGTTAGTGCCCCCATTGTTGACGTTCACTTCGACTGTGCCTGCGAAGCCAAGCCCGAGGGAGATGCTGTAGTTGACAACCGTATTCACCAAACTGGCCGCAATGCCTTGGTGTCTCCGGGGCATGGCGTTGGAAAGGATCAGCGTACCAGCCGGGAAGCTCATGTCCATACCCCAGGGCATCACCACGACGCTGATAAACGTCTGCGCCCAGTAGGTCTGCTCGACAGGACAAGTGGCGACAAGAACCAAGCCAACGGTAAACGCCAGGAGCGCACACATCATGACCACGGCCGGTCCCAGGCGGGGCAGCATGAGCCCGGTGAATATAGCCGCGCCGCACCCGGACACGGCCACGGGCACGAACATGGCCGTAGCCACGAGCGGGGTCTCGCCCCGGAGCCCGAGCAGCAGCTCCCAGGTGTAGAAGACCCAGACGCCGAAGCTCGCCCACCCGCAGCCCACGGCCGCCAGCACGAACGCCACGTCGCCCGACAGCGCCGCGAACGGGACCAGCGGGTGCGCCGCCCAGCGCGCCTCCACCGCGCAGAAGAGCGCCAGCAGCACCGCCCCCGCGCCCAGCAGCCCGCCCACATACGGCGCCGCCCACCCCGCCGCCGGCGCCTCGTTCCACGCCACGTTGACGAGCACCAGGCCCGCGACCCCCAGCACCGCGCCCAGCGCATCGAGGCGCGAGAGCATCTCGCGCACGCCCCACCTTTCCCCCCCTCCTCTTCTTACTCTCGTCTCCCCCGGTATCGCAAGCGCAGCGAGCACAACCGCGACCGCGAGACACAGGGCCAGAGCCCAGAAGGCCCAGGGCCAGGCGGCGCGCTCCGCGCACAGGGCCGCGAACGCGGACCCCACGACGGAGCCGCCGGGCGCGGCGGCGCCGAAGAGCGCGAAGACGAGGGCCTTGCGCGCGCCGGGGGCGCGGTAGTACGACGCGCCGAGCAGGGCGAGCGCGTTGGGCAGGACGACGGCGGGGCCGAGCCCTTGCAGCGCGCGCGCGAGGATTAGGAGCGCGGTGCGTGGGGGGGAAGAGGATGTGGCTACGAACCCGCAGGCTAGGCTCCAGGCGGAGAACCAGGCGAGACCCGCGAGGAAGACGCGCTTGTACCCGAGGATGTCGCCGAGCCGCCCCGAGGGCAGGATCAGGGTCCCCACTGTGAGACTGTAGCCGGCGAGCACCCAGCTCGAGGCTTGTGGGGACCCGAGGGAGGACTCGAGGACCCGCAGGAGACTGAGGGTTTGGCCGAGGCCGGCTTCTTTGGGTTGGGTTGGGTTGGGGGTGGAGGGTTGGGTTAGTGGGAGGTTCTTTGGGGTGGTGGTGGTGAGAGAGTGTATTGGACGGGGGGAAGGAAGGGGGTGACGCGTATTGTGAGACAAGGGGATAAAAAGAGAAAAAAAAGGGGGGGTGTGATGGTAGTGATGATGGCGGTGGTACGTAGGGTACCTCACTTACGAGTAAATACCTGTGCGAGGCAGATGATGGCCACGAAGAGGATCTCGCGGGGTAGGGACATCGTCTCGGCCGTGGGCATATTGGCCTCTGCTCGCTCTGTCCCGAGCTGCCCCTTCGCCCCGGCCCCGTCGAGATCTCCCCCGTGCCCCTCGGCCCATGGGGAGTCCCCCGCTTGCGCATCGGCTGGCTCCGCCGCCGCGCGGTCTGCCTCTCCGAGTTCTTGTTGATGTTGCTGTTTCTGGGGCGGCCTATCACCTCGATCCGAGAAACTGCTGCTGCGGTTTGGTGACACGGCCCCATCGCCGTGTGAAACCCCATCATGGTGCCCATCCGTGACCGTGCTTGTGCTTCCTCCTCCTGCGGCCGTGGCGCCACTCTCGCCCGTCGTTCTGGGGGTCTTGAAGTTTGTGCACTCGTCGTGCAGGACGCTGGGGTTGGGGTCATCAGGAATCATGGTTATACATGTGTCGCACTGCGGCAGCAAAGGTGAGATGGGGGGTCCGTGATACCTTATAAACAAGACCCCTATATACCCTCAATCGGGGGGTACATGTTGTGCGCCGTTGGTCAAGGTCAGCTGTTTGGTGTCGTGGAGTCACCCCATGTTCGTGAGGATCACATGTCTGTCACCGATGCTTTAACGCTGGCAGACCCATCGAAAGGGGTTATTTTGTTCCTATGTTGCCATCTCCTTAAACCACGATATATACCGTATCCGCATATTTAAGAGTATGCCGTGGATGACATCACGGGTTATAGTTAGTAAGACTAATACTTATACATGCAGGTTGATGATATCGTATTTGCAAACGTATGCTTCAGTGCCCCCAGTCGACGAGGATACTTGTTAGTCTCTCCTGAACCGAGCCTTTACCAGTGTATGTCGAATCGAACGGATCGATCTTTGCGGAGGGGTTGTTATTAACAATATTACCAATAAAATAGCAACTTATGGATACTAACCTTAGTAGTATTTAATGTAGGTTGTATGAATATTTAAATATTCATGAAGCCTCTTGCTAAGTGCGCCATTTTACTTTTGGATTCAACCAGATGCCATAGCACGTTGCGTACGCAGCTTTGAAAACTAAAGCACGCAGAGGTGATTATTAAAAAAGCTAGCTCGACAAGATGCCTGAGTTTCTAGGGCAGCTAAAACATTTTAGGAATTTCTATCAGCTTGGGGAGGTTGTCTGTCTTTAATACCGTAAAACACAACACCATCTTCAATATGTAAATACGGGTCGAATTGGTGATTAGAAGACTTGTTAGGCATGGCCCACATAAGAGTGATTTAGATACCAACAGACGAGCATTCGGAAATAAGATATGCGGGCGTAAGATGGAAATTGCACATGCATCAAAGCCTAGGTGCCCAAATAGTCTAGAGACTGAAAGGGGCAAAAAAGAGATGTAGGAAACTTAAGGGCCTGTCTGGGAATTGAACCCAGGACCTGTCACATCCACGTTTAGTAGAAGGGTAAACCCGAAGCGACAATCATACGACTAGACCAACAGGCCGCTTAGTAAGCTATAGGAAGGATATTGTGTTATGTTAGGAGATATACCATGGATAGCACATCTGAGGTAAAACTCTGGAAAACGCATGTTGATGCGTTGGTGTAGTCGTGAAGTCTTTGCCATCAACAACTATTTCGATGAACTATTATCAACTATAAATCAGCGTATGTTGTTTCCAAAGAATAGAAAAACTGTAGCTCTAAAATTTCTAGAATACCTAATGTTTTCTCTATCTTCTCTATACTTGACAAATGCAACCGCCAGCCTGAACACTTCCAAAGTCATATGTTACGTAGATAGGTAAGTAGGTAGTTACCAACCCAGTCATTTATGCAGTATCATAGCCAACGATACGTGCTTGGCCATATCCACCCACAATACTCTTACCATTACGGTGGCCCTTCCCATTCGTGGAGCCGTTACCGGCTGTCGTCGACAGATCCACGTCGTGCCCCTCAAGCCACTGTCCCATCTTCCGGTACATGTCCATCCACATTGTATGAGTTGAGCCCGTCTCTGGCCCCTGAATAGTTGGTAAGAACTCGTCAACTTGGTGACCTAGCATGCGCTGGGCCGCACCGAGATACTTGTAACCCTCTGGGCACTTGGCTAGCACTTCACTGGTAAACGACGGCACGGTCTTGCCATCGACCGGCACAACCTTGTCTTTGTCGTAGATCAGCTTGACATACTTGACTCTCCACGCCCCCGAGCTTGGTTCCTGGAAGCAGAAGAAATGGAACCGACAGTCGCAGTCTACGTCGAAAATGATCGGCTCAACACCTCTGTCTTCATCCCCCTTGATCTTGAAACGCTGGGTGATTGTTGCCTTCATTTTGCCGACTGCTCGATGCGTAGATAGATTCAGATCTACAGCAGTTCCACATTCGCGGTGCATGATGAAATCGCCGTTCGACTTCCCCTCCTTAGACTTCTGAATGAAGTCATCGATGCTCAGACGTCTGCTCCAGGCTGGAAGGGAATATGTCAGCAATGGGTGTATATAACACTGGCGACTATTACTTACTAGTCCAGACATATGCATCTTCACCGAAGAGGGATCGGAAGTTCTTCCATTCTGACGCGTCTCGGTATACAGGCCAGCCCTTGCATAGCTCTGAAACAGCCAGACGACTTAGTATATCATTCGGTTGGCCGTTTATATGAGCATACAGTCGTTCTTGGGGATCGATTGGTGAAGTCATGCTGAAGATGGACTACTGTCTCTGGACTTGGCCGGAGCTATAGTATAATAGAATCCAAATTGGCCGGTAAAAAAAGGGATCCCCGGGCTGTTGTCTTGAGAAGAAAACAAAATTGGAAAGTCTATACATATAGACGTAGCAGACTTGAAGGGTTAAATAGTTCAAGGCTTAACACACTCCCATGTCATTTAACCCCCTTACTTTCTGCAAGCTTCGTGGGACAGTTATGCTTGCCATCCTGGTGAATTCACTTAGCAATGCTCTTGGGAATAAGAATGAATCAGGGTACTTCGACGCAAACAACTCCAGACCCACAAGGGGAAGCAAGTATGCGCTTCGTCCCGTCTAATCAGTCGATCTATTCACCTTATTGTCACGAGAGTACGAAAAAGCAAGCCCGCTCTGGTGTTAACCTGACTAGCCTAACGGGCTTCCCGTCCTTAAGTTGGCAAATAGAGCAATCCAACACGTGTTACGGGATTCTCGCGGCCACCCAGCCGGGACCTAGAAGCCTACCCGTTTTCTATGTTAGATCGGTTATGATAACCGGACGTTGTGCTTCCAGGTAGCGAACCTGGAAATTCCCGCGCCGGTCATTCAGGTGAGCCTCCTACCTGGGCTTGACTATCTTCTGCAGGAATCCACGCTTGTCATTGTTAATGGAACGTACCGCACGTTCAGCTATGCGACGCCGGCTAGGCTGCTTGCATCACCGCCCGGCACAAGCTTGTCTGCCCGGCATGCCGTTATGCTTCTCCTTCCAGAGAGCGGACTGCGACGTTACTCGTCTTTGCGACCTAGAGAGGATTCATCACGTTTCAACGACAACAAAAGCGTTCGTCTGGTGGAAGGTTACACTCATCGTCGGCTGAATCTAGAATTTGATAACCGAGGAGAGGAAAGAGTTGCATATCTTCGTCGATCGTCGGGGGCCCGATTCGACCCATACACGCACAAAACCTGTGACATATCAGTATAGTCAAGTTTGTGTTGATACCTAGACCGATTTACATCTAGATGGAATCGGAATGAGCTGTCTGATCGCAAAGGGAGAGGGCAGACGTGATCATTTAATAGGGGATGTCGACCCAACCTGGCATGTTTAACCCACGTAGAGCGGATGGTGACAGCAAGAACCACAATGATTGAACAACAGCCCGCGTGTAACATATTCCATGCAGCCTATAACGGACGACTGTCAACAAAAACATTGTCATCAGATACTTGTAACCCCGAGTCTTGCCCGACATGAACAGGATCACATCATAAGCTGAGGAGCGTTGGAGACGGTTCATCAACATGAAACACACCTACTTATACCATGAACACTCATCGACCATTCATATTCAACGTATTAGCGAGAAGAGAACACTCCCGCCACTCGAGTAGTATGGGGTGACGTAACCGTAATAGCTATCGTCTATGATAGTATAGGGGAGTCTGAGGTCGTCGCCCTACTCGGTGACAAGCCTGCTCGATTACACATATGAAATCGTGCCCCCGCGTTCCCAGATCGAGCTCTCAGGTTTTACATACCTAGACACCAAGTAACCATCGCACCGGCTCCTTCCCCGTAATACTTTCATGCGCGATCCCCTCAAAACTCCGCTGCCGTTTCTCCCTCCGAAACCCTGACGGCCAGATTGTGTGACTTGTGTGTCCCGGTAGGTATAACACAAGGGGGAGAGGGGGGGATACGGCACTCGGTGTGAAGGCTATCGACGCGTCAAGTTTGATCTACTTGAGCAGCCCCCATTCATGGCTTAGTAGTAACGACATATCACCATATCTTCCCTTCCCACGGCCGAGCGTTTCGGTCCTTAGGCACATAGCCGGGTACATAGGACCCACGGCCTAATATGATATATAGCATACTCTACCTAGGTATAGATCTACATGTCTGTTATTGCCATCCTCTATCCCCCTTTTCATCACACTGTAAAGAGAAGGTGCCCTTGGTCTAGTAAAGTCTAATCATCCAATCTTGTCTAATATCTCCTCAGTACAAGGACCAGGTCTCGACGGTCCTTCTGGCAGCTAAGAGGCGGTCCTTTAGCAACACGCCAAGATACATCATGTTAGGTTAAAGAAAATCTTTGAAGAAGCCAGACATGATCAATTCATATCAGGGAGATATCACATTATGAAGTCAATCAAAAGGGAGAGGACCTATAAAATAAAGGTTAAACGAGACCATGCCAGACAAACCACCGAAGGGTTTTAGATAAGGGGCAGGTAGTTTTTGTCGCGTATATGGGTGTATACCACGTTATGTTAGCAAGCGTTACTAGTATCGCTTTTGTGATGGTGTAAGTTAGGTAGATATACAGTATTAATATACCCATATATGAAATATTAATAAAGTTGGGTTATAAGCAACATTTGTTACCTACCTGGACATATGTCACGAGATATACAGTCCGTTATTGCTAGAAAATCAATAGCGGTACCGCCTTCGTGCTGAAATATTAACCTAGGTATATCCATATACGTGCTATAAACTTCATTATCTCGTAAGTCATGCATTGGCCCCTGTCCTATAAAAAAGAGGTGCTTGGGTAAATACTCGCACCTTGTGTACTTCATCATACCCTTACACATTGCTTAAGATGCCACATTTGATCATCAGCATTGCCCTAGATCCCAGAACCCCCTTTTCTTGAATCAAGCTGGTAGCACATGTAGTGGGAGCTCCCAACCCCGAGAATCCGTATGAATATGTATTCCCATTTCCCATTCCGAAAGAAATGCCTGAAATTTTTTTAAAAACTTTTTTTTGTTCTTATCAGCATAAACCCCCGAGCAATATATCTCGTTGCCAAAGTTACTCAAGCTACCAAGCGCTTAAAGAATGACGACTTCTTCGGCTTGAGATCCCCCTTTTCATCTCCGCCAGGCCCGGCTCTCGCCGAACTCGGTCCCGTCGTCTTGCCAACAGGGAGTCTATCGAGGCCCTCGCCATGGCCCGTCCCGGTGACAACGCCATATGCGCGTGACACGGCCTCGGAGAGGCGTACAGAACGCTTAATGGCTTCGATGCCAACATCGACCATATAGTATTTGACAGGCGACCGCACGACCGGGATGGCCGAGACGCGAACGCTGTGGTATTCGAGCTCGACCCGGCCCGACATCGACGGGTTGAAGGCCTCCTGCATGTCTTGCAGCTTCAGAGTCGACGGGTTCTCGCCCACGTCGAGCTCTACTGCGTCGAATGCTATCTGGAACGAGCTGAGCGAGCCGATGAGCACGGCGACGCGTTCGCCGTCGTCCCGCTCCATGACAATGGCGGCTGCTAGCTGGTTCGCTCCTTTCAGGATGGGGAAGACGAGGGGCCACTTGGGGACGAGAGACCGCATCTCTACTCGCATGGGCAGCGGCTCGTGCTTGCTGCTCGGCTTCGCTACGATGATTCTCACGACGCTATAGATCTCCGGCGGCGGTAGTGATCGCAGCTGCACTACGTGGTGTGGAAAGGCGCCCGCGTCCGACGGCTTGTGCGGCTTCTGGCGTATGTACACCGTTTGAAGAGGGCCCCTTCGTCGGATCATGGCGAATTGCCCAACCTTGACCCGGGCATATTGCTGATCCTTGTCTGACAGCTTCTGAAGGTAGACAGCCAAGAATGTCGAATCTTCATAGGCCGGGGGCGCGGGACAGTCCAGCGCTGCCACGAATAGCCCGTCTTCACCTTCACGAGCTGTCAGATGCAGGTCGATCCGAAGTCCGCGGTTGGTTACAGCGTAGGGAGAGCGAGGCTCCCAGTCCTGGTAGGGAATTATGCTATTCGAATAG